GGTGGATCGGTCCTGCCTTCGGTTCTCTTCTATAGCTCCAGCATCGTTTCCCAGTTCTGGTTCTTAGCTTCTGCTTTTCTTCCTTGAAATGCTGAACGGACCACATCTCCATGGCTACAGTGCTATGATGTCACACTTTCTTCGGCCCTGGGTGTTTCTCACATCCCACCCCAATGCAGCAGCTAACATAAGCAACCGGCTGTAGCATCCTCATCCTCACCAATCTCTGATTCGTCCCTAATTGCTTAGGGAGGGGATAGGGAGAGAAGAGGCCCTCTGTTACGATTATCAAATCTCTGATTCGTCCCTAATTGCTTAGGAAGGGGATAGGGAGAGAAGAGCCCCTCTGTTAACGATTATCAAAGGAGAAGAAGAAGAAATTAGATTTATACCCCTCCCTTCACTACTTGAAGGAGTCTCTGAGTGGCTTACAATCTCTTTTCCCCTCCCCTCCCCACAACAGACACCCTGTGAGGTAGGTGGGGCTGAGAGAGCTCTCTTGAGAACTGCCCTTGAGAGAACAGCTCTGAGAGAACTTGTAACTGGCCCAAGGTCACACCAGCAGCTGCATGTGGAGGAGGAGTGGAGACTGAAACCCGGTTCTCCCGGATTAGAGTCGATGCTCCTAACCACTACACCACACCGGCTCTCAAAACTGAATGAACCCCTGGCATGCTTTCGTATACTGTATGACATCTGACTTTGCTTTTTTTTTTAATTAAAGGACTCTCCCGCCCTCAGAAGACCTTCCCAACCTTCAAAACTGTCGAAGTGAGCAACGAACGTGATACCAACGATTTTGATGGTACGCTCGAACTATCATTGGGTTATTTGGCTTTCTTTGCTAGCCCTTTTCTTGAGGGCCTGAGTTGTACATGTGTTTGCAAAGATACCTTGGAAAAACCTATCCACCTGAAAGGAACACTAGGTTCCCCCCCCCACCACCTGCTCTGTCAAGAAAGAAATGGACATCTTAAACTCACAAAATATAGTGATGCACAGGAATTTGGGGGTGGAGCTTTTCTGGATAACCAGATAAGAAACAAAGTGGTTGTCTTGCATTCAGGGTCATCTACTTTCAAGTAAATTTAGACAGGTGAAATAATTTGTGAGTGTAAAACTCATGACAGGAATGCGGAGTTGTTGAGATGTGCTGCCTCTGGTACTTTCATTCCTGGATTCTCATTCTTTTCAAATCTCTTTTACCCCCACACTTTGCAGGAAAGGAGGTCATGGCTATGCTGAGACTGAGAGCTGGGGACGAGAAGACCAATGTTAGGAAATCTGCCCTCCAGGTATGTCCTGAGTCTGCTTTTGAGCCCCAGTGCCTAATAATTACAGGTGCAGTTCTCAAAAACACTCACATAATCTGTTGTAAAGATATCAGGTTCCACACAATGTCCACTTGCCATTTGCTGAATCCTGATAATAAACATCCCTGTATTATCTCTCCTGATTACAAGGAGTTGCCTTAGATTGAATCAAAATGTTGGCTTGTCTAGCATGGCATGGTTGACCCCACCTGGTAGCGGCTCTCAGCAGTCTTTGTCAGCCATGCACCTTGAATCCTTTTGACTAGAGGTGACCCCTCAGTCACTCATGGAACATAAGAAGAGCCCTGCTGGGTCAGACCAGTGGTCCAGCATCCCATCTCACACAGTGGCTAGCCAGTTCCTCTTGAGGGCCAATAACAGGGTACAAAGGCCAAGGCCTTCCCCTGATAAGAACATAAGCTCTGCTGGATCAGACCAGTGGTCCAGCATCCCATCTCACACAGTGGCTAGCCAGTTCCTCTTGAGGGCCAATAACAGGGTACAAAGGCCAAGGCCTTCCCCTGATAAGAACATAAGCTCTGCTGGATCAGACCAGTGGTCCATCCAGTCCCGCATCCCGTCTCACAAAGTGGCCAACCATTTCCCCTGGATGTCCAATAACAAGGCATTGAGGCCTTCCCCTATAGGAAGAGATTGGATTTATACCCCGCCCTTCACTCAGAGTCTCAGAGCGGCTTACAAACTCCTTTCCCTCCCCCCTCCCCACAACAGACACCCTGTGAGGTGAGGTAGGTGGGGCTGAGAGAGCTTTCCAGAACTGTCCTTGAGAGAACAGCTCTGACAGAACTATGGCTTGCCCAAGGTCATCCAGCAGCTGCAACTGGAGGAGTGGGGAATCAAACCCAGTTCTCCCAGATTAGAGTCCACACATTTAACCACTACACCAAACTGGTGCCAGTATTGCCTCCTGGCACTGGCATTCAGAGGCCAACTGCTTCTGAATGTGGAGGTTCCATTTTGTCACCATGGCTAGTAGCCACTGATGCATATTCTCTATGAGTGTCTAATCCCCTTTTAAAGCCATCTGTACCTGTGGCATGGAGAAGCTTCCTTTTATTTCAGACATATCCAGACCAAGCAAGTTCCTTGAATTTGGTGGTGAGTCTGGGACTAAGGGAGGCACCTGCTTATGGCGGTCTCGCCACATACCCTTTCTTCACAGCTGAGGGGCAACCAGAGACAGGCAAGACTAGGCTTTCGGTGGCTGTTTGAGCCCCACTGCTGCCGACTCTTATCCTGAATGGTCACACTGGCAATCTTGGGTAAAGGCAGGGCTATTTTTGGGCAGGAACGCACAGGGACAGAGTTCCGTCTGGCTCCCAAGTTGACCACGCCCAGCAGGAACTCATTAGCATAATAGGCCACACCCAACAGCACAACCGCATTAGGATTGGCTACATTAGGGGTGTGGCCTAACATGCAAAGGAGTTCCTGCTACAAAAAAAGCCCTAGGTTTTGACAACAAACAAGGTAAACAGAATAAGAAGCAAAAAGCGGGTGTGGCTGGATGACTATACTTCTGGTAACATGGGGGTGTGGCCTAATATGCTAATGAGCTATGCTCTCATGGGTGTGGCTGGATATGGTAATGAGTTTCTGTCATTGGGTGTGGCCTATTATGCTAATGAGTTCCTGCTGGGCTTTTTCTACAAAAAAAAGCCCTGGGTAAAGGTACTGTGATATTCCCAGAGGGAAATGTCAGCATTTTTTTTTCTTGCCCTCTTACCTCATCTGTGACGCTTGACCACTGGGGGAGGCTGAAAGCAGCCTCAGAAAGTAGCCTGTAGCTCCAGTGGGGTCCTCAAACCTTCCCTCGCTGCTGTAGGGGCTGAAACAGGTGACCTGAGATACAAGAAGTCCCCAAAGGCCCTCGCTTTTCTGGACGCTGTCTTGGTGCAGAGACCCTGTCGGGATTTTTATAGGCTGAGCCGCTTGCCTACAGGGTCTCCTCGCTGTCCCTCAGGCCTTCTAGCCAGGTGAGCCAAATTCACGCTAGAAGTAGGAAGAGAAGGGAGACAAGAAAAAGAAGAGATTGGATTTATAACCTGCCCTTCACTCGGAGTCTCAGAGCGGCTTACAAACTCCTTTTCCCTTCCCCTCCCCACAACAGACACCCTGTGAGGTAGGTGGGGCTGAGAGAGCTTTTTCGAGGACTGCTCTTGAGAGAACAGCTCTTATCAGAACTACGGCTTGCCCGAGGTCATCCAGCAGCTGCAAGTGGAGGAGTGGGGAATCAAACCTGGTTCTCCCAGATTAGAGTCCGCGCACTTAACCACCACACCAAATTTACAAGCTGGAAGCCTTCCCTCTCCGCTCCCCTCTCTGAGCTGCTTGTCCCCTCATGGCTGGACTGAATTTTTTACATGTCTCCTGACTAAAAAAAGTTTAAATGTCTCCTTTCACTGTGTATGTGTGAATGGATTCTTGTGGTGTTTTGCGGCCTATGCCTTCCGGGGCGGTGGGAGGGGGGGCTGCTGTCAGCGCCTTCCCCGTCCTTTGTGCTTTTTAGGGGCGGGGCCTTAACTTTTTTTAAAAAAAAACCCCATACAAAATTGGAAATCTGTTTGTGACGTGCCCTCAGCCCTTGGGATAGGGTGGGCTATAAATCTCACTCAGCCCAATTACTCCAGATTGGTACTGATAATGGCCGAGGGAGAATTCCCGTCCCTGGAAGCTACGTCGGATGATAAATGGCTGCGAAACGTGACCTTAGCGTGGGCAAACACTTGATCTCCCGCAGAGAGATGGATGGCGATGTAATGAAATATGTAAGCTTGAATAAATCACTCTTTAACATTTAAACCCTCACGCTTAGAATATTTTATAGGGGCATAATGAATCGGTCCAGCAGGGTAACGAATTAGCACACATTTGCTGTTGGTTAGTTGGGCTGAAAAGTCGTCAAGTTTCCGTAGCTGTGCATTAAAGGATGATTGACTTGTTCTGGCCCCATCGTGAGGGACAGCTGTCCATTTGGGGAACAAAAGGGCCCGCCTCTGTGTCAGTCTTAGAATCGGGAGCTCATGATGCCCGGATTTAGCAGAAGGTCCTAACCACCAGCGTTCCCTCTAAGCTGAGTTAGTGTGAGCCAGCTCACAGGTGTTTTTTTATTATTGATTCTCCTGAAAAGGAGAGAGTTTATTGCTTTTAATGTCAGAAAAGGGGAAGGTATATAGCGGGACTAAGTAAAGGTTGAGTGCTGCTCTTATTAGTATGTTAATCTTTTGTTAATATTAAACAAATC